AACCAAAACTAAGAGGGACGGACGAACCGACTAGATGATGGTATTCCAACTGCGCCTGCGTTAAATATATTATCATAGGCATATGTATTCGGCATAATCCTATTAGCTGTCTCATAGATATCGAAGCCGTATCGGTCTTTGTGATACGTTTTGCCATTAGTTTTGGTAAATACCGCTTTTAACTTTTTTTTTAAAGATTAGAGACAACCTTTTGTACTTGTACGTTGTCAGACGTCTTTAACCCAGACCTTTTATGGCGTGTCTCCTAGCTCCTGTAGCATCTGTAATAGCGCCCTCATTCGACCATACTCTGCATAGTTCAATAGGTCATGTCACATTACAGAAGTAGGACACGTTCACTAAGTACTTCTCCGAGTGGTCTCATTCTTTGTTCCGAAACCCAAATTTATTAAACCTCCCCTCAGCGCGTTACAACGTTTATAAACTCTTGCAAAAAGCGTTGCACGTCTCAGTGACTCGTCTTTAACCCATACCTTGTATATGGCGTATCTCCCCCTCAACGTTTTAAAAATCTGGCGAAAAGCGTTAGGCCAAAAAAAAACAATCTCCGGTTTCTGGTCTGCGCGCGCCGTAGCCTTGCCCGTCGTCAAAATTGAAAAAAAAAATGAAGTAAGTGTAAGATGATGTCTCAAAACCGTCAAACTCACTGGTTTGACTGAGTTGAATCCTGCTGCTGCACAATTTTAACGTGTGTTTAGATGGGGCTACGTTCGAGTATAAGCTTTATGTGGCCTCTCTGGGCTTCCATTATTTTGCACTAAATTAGTCGGGCACCATTTGCAGTCATCACCCGACATTTGAAGAAGAAAAAAAAATAGCCGCGTCGCCGCACCACTTTTGGGGCAAGCTCCATACCAGAAACCGAAGACTTTTTTGGCATTAGACGTTTCAGTGACTCGTCCTTAACCCAGGTGCGGCCTTTTAAATGGCGTCTCCTCTCCCCCCTCAACTTTTTACAATGTTTATAAACTCTTGCAAAAGCGTTCGACGTTTCGGTGACTCGTCTTTAACCTAGGCATTTTAAATGGCGTCTCTCCCCCTCAAGTTGTTACAACGTTTATAAACTCTTGCAAAAAGCGTTAGACGTTTTAGTGACTCGTCTTTAACCCAGGCCTTTTATAACTTCTCTCTTTTTTTCGTGAAATTTTTTTTTCATAAAAACGGTCCCAAAAGCGTTTATAATGTGTTCAAACGTTACACACCACGTTTAACAGTAGTTTTTTGTTTCTTTTACATCACAGGCACCCTTAGCCGCTGTTCCCGTTATGTACCGCACAACTGAAGAGAATCCGAACTTTATGTCGTCCAAGGATCCTCTGACCGGTAAAATTCTCTCTTATAAGCATTACTTGGGAGAAAATTGTAAATTTGATCTACTATACAGGGGTTTGCTAGTGTTTGCACCCAGATATTGGTTTAGAGCGCCTCCTTTTCGATAGAGCGCCCATTATTCGTTACAGCGCCCACAATGTGCCCTATTGACTTCTTGCTTTAGTGCTAATTCCAAGTGTCCAGCTAAAATGCTCTCTAAACTCTTGCGTACGGTACGGCCGAGACCCTTGAATTATTTATTTTTTATTTTTGTTGTTATTGAAGGTGAGTCACTGTTCCCTGTGAATCTGGACTGCATCGGGTGCAATCGTCAGGACATCCACGACTTTGGCAAGCGAGTGCAGGAGCTGGGCATCAAGTACGTGGGTCTGTGTTGCGGCAACTCGGCTCACCTGACCCGGAGCCTGGCCGAGAGTCTGGGCCGAAAGCCCCCGGCCTCCCGCTACTCGGCAGACCTGAAGAAGCACTGGCTGCTGGGACATGACGACAAACTGCCTTCGCTAGGACAAGAATTCAAGACAAAATATGCTCCCAAATTGACCAAAGTTGAGAAATAAACAAACATAGGCCTATACTTACACAACTGAAAAACAGAAAAGATGTGTGCCAGTTGATGACTAAAAAGTGATTTCGGTTTTCAGGCCTTGGTGCTGCATTGAAACAAATAGAGTTCATAATTTTTAGAAGGCACTGTTGGAAAACACACACAATTAATTCTAACTTGAAACTTCAAACCTCAAAGAAATAGGTCCTCTTAATAATATCGACCATAGATGACCTCATAAGGGTACTCCCCCTGACTGACCATTACGTCAGTCCATGGTCAGTCTACCTTTACTCGGAAATGATGTCATAATGTCTTCCTTATATGACATCATATCCTATTTTCACAAAAGTTGCCCCTCCGAAAATGCATAAAATGTCCACATTTTCCTATTTTCATTGAGTTCTCCTTCTTCTCCCTGGGAAACCAGAGGCATGGCCATACGCTGATTCAGCCCTATGCTCTGGCCAGTCTTCATCTACGATATTTTGTCTTCTGTCTCCTACTTCTGTAATTATACAAGACCCGGTAGAATTGAGTTCTTGAAAATAAAATAGTTTCAATATAACATCCCAAAGACTAAAAACATATCAAATCCTGTATGCAACAATACTTCTGAATATGTCTGGGATTATCGCTCAGGCTATAGTTTTCTAAAAGGTATATTTCTTCGATAAAGACAGGATTGTATTGATCAAAACGAAGTTTGATTTAAAAACATTAAGATTGTGTATATTTTTTTGTGTTTTGCTTCCTTCGGATAATACCATTATTAGATTCAAGATTTAATAGTAAGGTTACAGTAAAATCTCACACATTCCTAATAAACATAGTGCAGAGAATTTGGTGTCAAATGGTAATTTTCATTTTCTTTCCAAAGCTTAAAAAAGAAGGGTACCAAAAATACTTTTACACGTTGAAACGTTCAAACGGAAAAAAATCTAACTTCGTTTACAAATTTTCCAAAACGTTTAAACGAAACCCGAATTATTAAGAAAAAAAAGAACTTACGCGATCTGCCTTCGATTCTTACAATATTTGCTAACCGCTTACAAAATTAAACGCATATAGTCATCCTTCAAAAGGACATCCCAAAGCAGGAACACTCAATTATAACATTGATTTATAACACCTCTTTATTTATTCTCGACAGTATACAAAAATACCAATATTTTATCATTGAATGTAATAATTATAGTCCGAGTATCCTCACATTCGTAAAAGATAGTAGCGGAGTAGCGCCCTGCTGTCATTCCCGTGGTTCGTCATAGATTTCAGGCATTCAAATCCGTTTTAAGACCTTACATTTTCATGTCTAACACATCCTAAATTGAAGTTATGTCATTCGGTTTAAGTGATCATTCAATTTAGCAGTCGGTTTGGTTTAGGGTTATTTGCATGAGGTTCTTGTTTTCGTTTTCATTTCCGCGCATTCTATTTAGCACTTTTTGCATTCAAAAGGAAAGTCAACGAAGGTATATACGGTGCGAGGCTTTTCATTTTTTCACCTTTTGATTATTTCTGCTTCATGTCGTGGCCATGTTTATGTTTCTGACCCCTCCTCTTGGCAGGATTTCCCGTCTGCCAGGTCTCAGATACGTGGCTACAATTGACCTGCAGCAGAAGATCTGTCACGCCAAGATTGTCTGCACGCGTTCAAGATGCATGCGTCTTGGGCATTGCCATGGAAAAGTCTTCGATGATGATCACGGTCTACGTTTCAAATTCTCATGTAACGCCCATGAGCTGGCATATTGATATTTCTAGTGCTTCAATCTAGCAGTCTGCATGGTGATCAGAGTAGTGGCAGAGTCTTGTGGGAGACAGGTTCTTTCCAAATTGTAACAAAAACACTCCACCTTATTCTAACAACAACGGAACGACATGCAAGGACCTATTTCGAATTGCTTTGCTTACTTTTCACATATGCTTGCTTAATGGTGAATTCGAATGACCAAACTTACACAGCTGGAAGCTCCGACGAATTTGGATGCTCGTTTGTGTAAATTTAATTTGAATGCCCTATTTTTGAAATGACATGATTAATATGTGAAATTGCATGCTTCTAATGGGAAATTGAGTGGTGTTTTTAGGTAATTGAATGTTGATCTCAACGTGCCTTCAAATTCGTACGAAAATGGGTGATTGGTTGCCAATTTGCCCACTTGGCCGGGAAAACCTATATTTATGGGAAAAAAACCTTTAAAAAGACGAATACACCGAGAAATTAATTCAATACATATAAACCAATAAATAAAAATGAACGAGTATGAATACATTTGGAAATTAAAGTAGTGTCGAAGAAAATAGTAAGATGAGATTTAGCAATATGCTTATCAATATTTTTTTTTGGGGGGGGGGCGGGGTGACCGAGCAAAGTTAATGCAATCAATATAGGACTCTGGCGGCGATTGCTTAAAAAGTTTACAACTTTCCTGAAGTATGAGCAAGTAGGCCTACTTCCTGTTTCACTTTTTCAAGCGGAGTGTCCTATCTTCCCCAATGATCTGCCCATATGTTGTGCAGTGCACTCAAGTGAGAATTTCTACGCGAGCCATGACTAGCAAAAAAGTAGCACCCACACAATTTCTTTTGAAAACGGATCGAGCCCGTTTGACTTTTATATAAAACTCTGGAATTGTGTAAATATAGCCAAGGATCAACTCCCTGGTTTCTGGGCTTCCAATTGAGGGCAGGCTTGATAAAATCACGGTTGAAAATGAGTCCTCCATGCCTGAAAAATTGGAAGGATATGCCACAAAGTTAATTGTACAAAAAGGCTACATTATGCAGGCGAACTATTTACCAGGTATTACTTTTCGTGAGGTGATTTTGTTGGCTAAAATGTAATTGGCTAATCCACCAAAAAATTGTTGAAAAAAAATGAAGGACACGACAATAATGTATTTTTGTTTAAGAAACCCCAGTGATGTCGACTTGCATGCTATTTTGCCCTGAACTTGGTTGATTCATAGAGCTAGCTATGGTTGATTTTACCGTTTTTTAATGGGGCTCAGTTTTTAAGAATTAGTTCACTCTTTTGCTACAAGCGAATTAAAGCGCCCTCAATCGACAGATGACAGGAGGTCAGTCACACATCACGTGCATGACGTGTGGGACATGTGTGTATGGTCACTGACGGCGCGGTGAGCGAAATTCTGGTAAATTTCACATTTTTGTTTGATATTTCAAGGATTTGAACCCACCTTATAGGTACCTAACCATGTCAAAATAACACATGCGAAATACTGTGTCCGAACATTTCGTGACAGGAGAGTTTGGAAGGCAACAAATATTTGACAATTACGGCCTAGTACTAGCCCCATAAATGTGGCCTACTGCCAGGGTGACTGCCACCGTAAACATAGGCCACACATCCACATGTACCCAAAAATCGTGTCGACTTTGCCAAATTTTGATTTTCACATTTAGGCTTAGTTTGTAGGATTTGTTTGCTTTAGAAGCATACTCACCCTCTTTATAGGCTAGTCAGAAAGTGCTGCCTTTTTCAGATGTCTAATTTTTGTGAAATTTCATTTTAAAATTTTGATACGCAAACGTGTAAAAATGAATCTGGAAATTCGCACTAATATAAGGTTTACCACTCGCATCACAGCTTTGGTACTGGAACCGCAACCAATAGTGCATGAAACAGTCATCGGGTCATACGCTTCCGCGTGACGTCATGCGCCAACAGCCAGCGCAGCCGGCAAAACCGAGTAGTTGACAGCGATCGCTCTCTGTGCCTGTTAATCGACCGCCATTCATTGTACAAAATTTTTTTGTGCACAAACCAGTTGAGGTCCTGGCCAATCCAGCAAGGTTGTCAAGTTAGCGGTTATTTCTCCTGTTTTCACTGCAATTGTAGGCTGAATCTTCATCGTGGATCGTTTTTTACTTCAAGGACCTGTGTAATGGTTATTCCAGGCAAGTTTGGGGTGAGTTGCAGTTGCAATTAGTGTGTAACGGGGACAAAATTGAACATTGAAAAATGTATCGGGCGGCCATTTTGAAAAGAAAAAAAAAAAGGGCCTCCTCCTTCCTTTTTGTCAAAGAGGCAGGACGCTAAACATGTTGTTTTTTTTTATTTTGCCTTAAGTACAAGTTTTGTTTATGCATTTTTGATAGCATACATTGTGGTTTAACAATTCATTCAAATTTAAGTTACACGATTTTTTTTGGAAAGTTGGTAAATTTGTACACAAAGTATATTGACTACATAGAGAAGTTGTGGATGTAACCAGAAGCCACGTCCTGTTACATCCAAACCTTGTTTTGTTCATTATTAATTACTTCAAAATGCTTCAAATTTTCACCAAACTTGAGTTTATCATCAAATACATGTAGCTTCATTTAATTTAGTACTACTTTTAAAGACTGTTAAAACTGTTTCGCCTATTTCCAACAACAAAAATAATGGCTGTGGATGTAACATGTCGGACACCACAACATCACAATGCGGTATTCTTCACCTCGATATGAATGGAACTAAATAAATGTTGCTTGTGTACTTTAGAAATGTTGTCCCCAAATCTCTGTTTCGAGGGCAATTGCAGATGGGTCATTCTATAAATTTGGGGTCCACTTTTTTTCCCGTCCCTGTTACATCTGACATCTATGATTGTATAATTCTGATGCACTCCTTAATGCAGTCATCCTCCAAGAGTGATTATGAATAGCAAACTACCTACCCAACAAATAAACAATCATTTGAAGTCACTTTTAATGATGCTTGAATGGCAAATTACAAAGTACCAAGGTAACAGGGACAGGAAAAATGTCACACTTTGGACCCCAAATTTATAGAATGACCCAGATTGCAGGTCATGATTTTCATATTTTAGGCGTGACCATGTCAACCGGTTGTGTATGTAACACGGAAACCATGTGCCCCCAGGCATGAGATTTTCTTCATATTTGGCCAAAACATTTATTTGCACAGACTACGATCACATTATGTTACTGTAAAGCTGTCAGATTCAGGAACGGATCCCAGGAACCTTTGTGTGAAGTGTAGGAGGGGAATTCAGTCTTGTACCAAAAACAGTGAGGATACTTCAGTTGTGTGATGTTACAAAACGTCTTCCGACTTTATTACAACTGTGCCACAATGGACCGATCCAGTAAGCACCGCCCCATGGTGTTCTGACCAATCACAGCCGTGATTTATGTCCGACGTGCGTGCACTAAAGTCCGACATGCGTGCACGCGCGTATGATGCGCGCGGAAGGAAAATGCAGCGTGACATTGGAGAGGAGCACGTGTTAATTTGCCCACGTGTGCACTGGGCGGAGCTTACTGGATCGGTCCATTACAATGTACATCTTCTCTCTTCCATCGCCAAAAACCAACTCCCTTCCAAAATTCTTTTTAATCACAAAAAACAAACTTCTTTCCCAAAATATTATTATCGAAGTTTTTTAGCGTACGCACGCGTGCACGCGCATGCACCTATGTACATGTAACGCAGCTGTTCACGTGCACACCTGTTCTTGTGCGCACTGTTCACGCGCCATGCATAATTATAATTACTTTTCGCATCACTGCATTACAAATAGGCCTACCAGTTCAGTCATGAAATATTGGGGTCATCCGACCTAAATTACTGCAAAAAGAAAACTTTGCACAAGCCAGTTGTGGATGTAACATAATTTGAAACAGCGGACACCATGTGTTACATCCACAACCCAATTTTAAATTGTGCATTTTGGCAAAAAATTTTAACATCTGATATTTACTTTTTTCAATAGAAAGGGTAGACCTACCTCTTCTCGCTATAATTTGTGTAAAACCTCAACTCCAGTCCACTTGTTTTCTTTTCAAAATGAGTTATTTTTTAAATGTAGGTTTCTTTGTCACACTTTTTCCTCATTTTTTATGCCGGACGCCATAACATTTACAGAATTTGGGTGTGAAAGTTATTTTTGAATATCATTGAGCGTGGTATCATTTAAAAGCTTATCTTAAATTTATAACCTTATTGCCAAATGACATTTGCTTTAGAAATAATCATTCCATAACAAAGAAAAATTATTTTATAATCAGACCTCAGAAAAATTATGGCGTGTTCCTCAACTTCATGGAATGACTCTTGTGACGAATGTTTGTTGTGAGTGTGACATTAATTTTCCTTTGGTTTTGTGTTGGCTATATTCTTCAGGTGTACCCAACAATGTTCCTGTCTGCATCTTGCGTTTTTGCATTGACACTAAGCTGGTTAATAGTAACCAACACAAATGCCTGTCCCTGCAACCAGAAATACAAGGACATCTCCCCATCTGCTAATGTCTTTGAGTCTGCAGTGTAAGTTTATGAGACTGGAAGTTTTGATTTATAAACATGTAAGTCACGGGGGCTGCCTGATAGTCCAAAGGTCTGATAGTCCGAAGGTTCTTTAGTCCGAAGGTTTGATAGTCCAAATGCACACAATTTCCATAAGAGGGGGTTCGTTAGTTCGAAAATGAAATAAGGTTCAATAGTCCGAAGGTTCATTATTCCGAATTGACAACAAGGTCCGATAGTCCGAATCAACAGAAAGGTCCGATAGTCCGAAGTGTCAGACTGACGAACCGTTTGCCCATTCGGACTATCGAACCTTATTCTCAATTCCGACTATCGAACCTTATTGTCGATTTGGACTATCGAACCCTACCGTATATTCGGACTATTGAACCTTATCATCTATTCGGACTATCGAACCTTATTCTCAATTCGGACTATCGAACCCTATTTTCTATTCGGACTATCGAACCTTCGGATTAATTAACCTTATTTTATATTTGTACTAATGGATCCTTCGGACTATTGAACCTTCGGATTATCGAACCTTTGGACTATTGAATTCGGACTAACAAACCTTCGGACTAATGACCCTTCGGACTAAAGAATCTTCGGACTAAAGAAGCTTCGGACTATCGGGCTGTAACAGTAAGTCACAGGTACGGTAGGTGACACTGCGAACCATGTCTGAAATGAGAACAGTGGCGATTATAATGATGTCAGACATTTTGTCAACCTTTCAGACATTTTATGTCTGAAACATAATCCCTGAATGTCTGAAATGTAAACCTGTAAAAAAAAACATTTATATTTCAGACATTCTGTTCACCTTAAAATATCTGAAACGTTAAGCGATCAAGACACTGGCTATTTTAAGTTTGAGACATTTGCAGTTGACTGACAGGCCAGTTTCTTGGGTTACGTCTTGATAGTCCGACGTCCCAATGGTCCAACCCCATTGGCCGACGCCCCATTGGTCCGATGAAACATAATGTATAGTTCCACTGTTTCAGGTTAACTGACCCTAACCCTAATCCAAACCCAAACCCTAATCCTATGGGGTATCGGACCAATGGGACGTCGGACCAATGGGATGTCGTTCCAATGAGACCTTGGACCAATGGGACTTCGGACCAATGGGACGACAGGGACGTCAGACCAATGGGACGTCGGACCAATGGGAGGTATAGACCGAAGGAACGTATCTACCGATGGAACGTGTAGACCAATATGTCGTCAGACCAATGGGACGTCGGACCAATAGGACATCAGACCAGTGGGCCGTTGGACAAATGGGATTTTGGACCAATGGGATGTTGGACCAATGGGATGTCGGACCAATGGGATGTCGGACCAATGGGATGTCGGCAGTGTTGGAGCAAAGGCTTTGACCCTCAAGGCCAAGGCCAAGGCTTTGACCCTCAAGGCCAAGGCCAAGGCCAAGGCTTTGACCCTCAAGCCTCGAGGCCAAGGCTTAACCCTCAAGGCCAAGGCCCTGTTTTATGAAATGACCACTGATATAGAACTAATTATAGTCACATGAGTGACACATCGTCACGCAAGGGCGGATCCAGAACACAATTGGGGGGGGGGCAAAGAAATGTTGGTCCCCCCAAAAAAGTGGGTCAAGAAATTACGGCTTGGGCTTTGGGGCCCGCTTAAAAAATGTTTGGATTCGAGATGCTCAGCGGTGCGATTTGAGGCAATTTCTGACCATTTTAACCGATGTTTTTTGAGGAAAAGATGGTGGTTTACTCATTGCCTGCCTTTATTACGACGTCACATAAAAAAAATGGTTTCTTTTTGGAGGGGGGGGGGGGCATGGCCCCTTTTGGCCCCCCTGGATCCGCCCTTATCATCACGAATTGCTCGTTACGAAGAACAACATTTCTTTAATTGCAATCAACATGCTCGCATAGGCCTACACCGTTTTATGACTGCACTGTATCTATTAAAGTATAAGTTCAGGTCTTCAATATGGTTTAACTAAACAATATAATGATTAACTTCTATATTGACATACAATTCTCCCTCCTCCATGGTAATACGATTAAAATGGTAACAGCAAAATTTCGAACAGATTTATCCGGAAAATGCAAAAATCTTTGGGCCTTGAAGAGCCTCGACTCAAAATTGCAAGGCCCTGAACCCTCAAGGCCAAGGCCAAGGCTTTTGCCCTCAAGCCTCGAGGCCAAGGCCAAGGCCCTAAAATCAAGCCTTAAGGCAGCCTTAAGGCCAAGGCCCAGCATCAAGGCACTACATCACTGGATGTCGGACTATAGAGATTTCCCCAGTTTCTTGATAGCCATACTTGTACATGTCATTGTTGTAGTACTCGTACTTGGTACTCGTACTCCAGTACTTTTTTTGGAGTACTCGTACTCGTACTCGAATAGTTCTGGTACTCAAAATGACAGTACTCGTACTTGGGCAGCAAAGTACTCGTACTCGACGTGTTGAAATTTTACTCGATCATCAAAGTACTAGTACTCGAATAGCAGTACTCGAGGGGAAATGGTATGGCTTGACTTTATATACCACTGCCTTATTTTATCGATACTTTCAGTTTGAAATGGTTGATTGGCTTGTGGAGAAATCGAAGTTTCCTAATTTTCCTCTGTGCACATCCAGGCAAGCACATTTAACAGCTAGCTGTGAGTGGGTCTGTATATCGGTCTGACTGGGTCTGGTCCAATTACGCACAATGAACCATTTGCCGTATGGCCGTATTCGGAAATACTCGTACTCGTATTCGTACTCGGAAGTACAGTACTCGTACGTACAGTACTCGTACTTGGAAGTACAAGTACTTGTACTCGGAGACCTGATGATGGACTATAGCTTTAATATTTACACCAATGGTCTAATTTTGGCCACTACCTTATTGCTGCAAATTTCCAAAGATGTTAGCCTGAGAAAGTAAAAAAAAATATTGTGGAAGGGTGTTCTACAACAATGCAATCATCGCTATAGATCAATGACATCTGGATTCAAGACTACTGCAATGGCAGTGTGTATAGACATGCACAAGTAGCCCCTTAGTTGAGGCGAAAAGAGATGAATTATAATCGCATTTCTGCTGTTCACAGTTTGTCCCACACGTGGATGTCTTTAGAGTCAAGCAAAGTGCCGTAGAGTCCAATGCATTACCATAGCATGCTTACCAAGAATTCAATATTTACTGTGGTAAACAATTGCCCCTTATCAAGTAATAGCGTATCAATGAGAAGCTATTTTATTGGGCCAAAAGCACCTTTAACATTGCATAGAAAAGACTGATCATTTACATCTTGACTCTTCAGACTTCCAAACGAGACTTGTTGCCTTCCTGCGGTCGGTAACGGTTACCTAGCAACAGTAGTCTACAGTGATACTATTTATGTGAATGGAGTTTACAATGGACGTGGTGGAGCAAGTCATCGAGCCAGAATTCCATCAACGGCAGCCATTCAAGTCTCTCTGCCTTCAAATGTCAGCGTCTCAAAAGAGTCTTACTCGCTGGATCTTGAAAATGGTAAGAACTTCAAATGCTATTCATACAGGTTGAATTTTGTGTGTGTGTCGGGGTAATGTAAATCTAATTAGGTTTTGCCTTTCACCGACGCGTAAACACTGTATATTCAGTGTGTTACCTCCCAAGTGAAAGTTGAAAAAATCACTCGGTTGGGACTCAAACCCACGACCTCCTGCTGTCTAGTGCAGACGTCTTTCCACTCCACCACCGGGCTAACCGGATCAGTTGGCTGGTTCGAATCTGATGTACATAGCAGCGGGTACCGCATAAACTATTCATAAGGTTGAAATTTTTTTTTCCGTCGGGGTTATATAAATCGAATTAGGTTTTGCCCTTCACCGACATGTAAGCACTGTATACTCGGTGTGTTACCTCCCGAGTGAAAGCTGAAAAAATCACTTGGGAGGTAACACACTGAGTATACAGTGTTTACACGTTGGTGAAGGGCAAAACCTAATTTGAACTTCAAATGCCATTATAAAAATTTGATTTTTGTTGTTAGCCAACAAGCCAGTAGAACATGTGGTATTATATTGGAATTCATAAATACCTCAGACAGTTTACCCATTGCTATTGGTCAAGAGGCCGCTGATAAAACACGGCTGCGTTTTGTGCCGCACCATGTAGTATGTGCACCTCGCGTGCGCGCCAATCTCCATATAAGGAGGTATTTAGCACTACACGCACGAGGCACATACCATGGACATGGCGGGACTGGTGTGTCACAAACCATGAAGTAAAATCGTTCGAAATTTGTGGATTTCTGACCGCGCGTGTGCCTCGATCTCCATATAAGGAGGTATCTAGCACTACACGCACGAGGCACATACCATAGACATGGCGGGACTGGTGTGTCACAAACCATGAAGTAAAATCGTTCCAAATTTGTGAATTTCTGACTTGTTTGACTTCTGACCGAAAATGTACTGATGAATGGTTTGGGATCTGGCCATTATCCACATCCAGGCCATGCACCATGTTCACTTAGTTTACCGGTTCATCCCGTTTATGTTGAGTATGATGGAGTTCGGTTGACATCAAATGTTACATTTATCCATGATTTTCTCAGAAAATAATTGCTGAAGTTTTGAGGTTTATTTCAGGAATGGAGGAATGGCTATTTTGCAGAAAGTCATATTCTAAAATTGGCTTGGAGTTGGAAGTTCAAATGTGTTTTGTGTGAGGCATACATGTACATGTATGTTAGGGATGCACTGATTAAAGTTTTGTTCCTCAAGTTGGGTTTCTAACCCGAGTTTCTAACCCGACAACTTTTCAACACTTTAGAAAGACCAGATTTCATATCTGTAAGCTAAAAGCTGGCTATGTATATGAACTTTTCCAGGAACATTCCATCGTAAAGTCACTACCAAGGAGGCCTTGATAGAGCAGAGACTCTATGCCCATCAGGAACTCTCCTACATTCTTGTCAATCAGATCATTATCTCTAGGAGAGGACCAACCACTGATCCTATCATCCTCAAGTTAGTCAATAATACTGGGATAAACAGCAAAGACATCAACTTCAAGAACACAGCTCCAGATGAAGGAACAAGGTTTGTATCAAAGACTAATTAAGAAATTCAAAACACTATGCTCTGTCGTCACAAATCTTGCCCCTAACCCTGCTCAATCCAACAAGATCCAACTATTTAACATTTCCGTTGGATCCTGTTGGATTGAGCAGTAAACGCCTTGTATATATTCCTGTTGAAATCTGTTGGATTCGGTATGCAACTGAAAACATTCAGAGTCTGATTCTGTTGGGTACATGGTAACGGTGAATAATGCCAATTTGGACTGTATTGTATTCAGCAGGAAACAGAGATATAAGCACAGTTGGATTCTGTTGGATTGAGTTTGCCAGTCATTTTATATATTCAGGTACGCAACAACTTGGAAAGTTGGGTTGTGTGGGACAGTGTTGGATTAAGCAGAAAAGTCACATAATAATAATAATAATAATAATAGTGGATATTTATAAAGTGCATGTATCCACCAGGTACTGGTGCTCACGGTGCTACATCATTGTTACCCCTGCTCATTGGGCCACTGAAACATTCCAAATACTATCTCAGCTCCCTGGGGAGTATACAGCTCGATGCAGCATGTTAGGCGCTAGGCAGCTAATTCAATCATAGTAAACATCTCTGCCCTCACAGGTACCTATTTACTCCTGGGTGGAGAGAAGCAATGAGTGACAAAGTGCCTTGCCCAAGGGCACACGCACCATGACCCCGCCAGGACTCGAACCCACAATCTGCAGCTTTACCCACAGACCACGAATCAGTGCCCTTAACCAAGAGGCCAGAGCACTCTATTGGATGTAGCAGGCCCCTGGGGACTGTTAGTGGGTCAGTGTTTTTAAGCATGACCTAGTATGTCGATTAAACAGTTCACTGAATGCATCATTGCATACTTTTGGATTTTTTTCATCAGCTGCTGGCCTTGGCAACCTTAAAAGAACATTTCATCAAGTTGCACTACTTTTATCTTTAACATCATGTGCATTGTGTGGTAGAACAATGGCATCTGCTAATAGTGACTGAGCTGCGCTGATTGGGTGTACTAACCCCTTTGAGTGATTTACTAGAAACCTTCCTCGCTCTTGCAAAATCCAACATCCTGTGGTAAACTCTACACCCAAACTGTTGGACTCTGATTATGGTGGTATGATTGACCCCATGTTTAAGCATAATCAGTTTACTAGTGCAGTTCTGACTCAAACAGATTCCAACAAAACATGCAGTTGGATTTTGAAGGATAGGGGTGGTTAGGGGTAAGTCATATATAACTTCATGCTTTGATTTGGGAATCTGAAAGGTTGGAGGTATAGGAACCACAGCAGCAAATTTAAAAGTTGAAAACATTTTTAATATCCCATTAAACCATTATCTAATTTTCGGCACAGCTGAAATGACTTTACCTGAACCCTAACCATTCCAGATCCTTTTTGGAAGATTTCGCAGGTTTTTTTTTTGTTAGTTCACTGAAACAAAGAATATATCAATGGATTCTTGTTTAATCTTGACTTGACTTGAGGGGAATCAGTAACCTTAATAGTTCAAGATTGAAGATTTAAAGGTTAAAGATGAGAGATTTGTCATCATTCTTTAAGGCCTTGGTCATGGCGTTAGGCAATACAGTCCGATGATGGTTGACCGTGAATAACATTTGCACTCACGTACTGCATGAAGCACAAACAGCGACCTCACGCTGCTAGGCTATGATATGCAAATCAAGTGGTGTTGAATGAAACCTTTGGAACATCCGTGAGCCTTGGCTTATGTTTTTCTTTATTTTGTCACTGGAGTTCCAGCGTCGACCCTGTATGCAAATAAAGATGACATTATCTTTCAGTAGTTGGTCGTGGAGGCTCATATTTTACTTGGGCAGAGAGCTGGATAGTGTGGCTACATTCTCCAAATGTTTTGAGTCTGCAGACCAAATATAACTCGATGTAAATCCTGGGACAAAAATAACAAAAATTGCCCGAAAAAGATAGGTCATGTTCCAAGGTGTTCTTACAGCACCACCTAATTTGCATATTGTAGACTAGCCGCGCGAGGTCACTGTTCGCACTTTGTACAGTACGTGTTATTGCACAGCGCGCGGCTCCCGTTTTGTTGGCGGCTGATCCTTGATCATCGGACTCTATATGTACATCGTTGAACGCCTTGACCAAGGCTACATTCTTTATCTCAGAATCTCAGAATGTCAGAAAGTTGATTGGATATTGCCGCTCGGCATCATCATCCAAGTTCACGCTGGTGCCGTGCAAGCGTGAAATTAAGGTTGTGATGCATAATGTTTTCCTGGGGCTGTCTTAAATTGGGATGATGATGTTTGATGGATAAGTTCATCAGGGAGCTCGTTTCAGTCTTCAATCTTCTTTGGGAATTTTTTTTTGTGGTACGCTTGTGTGCCGCATCGCAAGGAAGCGTAGTCACTGATTATGTCCATTTCTTTGTGGTCGTTCTACTGGGGTGATGCAATAAGGGATGTCAACGGCAGTTTCTTCATGGATGGAGCGATAAAGCATCGTGAGCCTGCTGACTTTTCTGCGGTGTTGGAGGCTTGGCCATTGAAGATTTTGCTGCATGTCTGTGACACTTGATGTTCTTTGGTAGTCACCCGTTACGAATCTTGCTGCTTGCCGCTGTACTTTTTCCAGTTTGTTGATGTGATTTGACTGATGGGGATCCCAAACTGTGGCTGCATATTCTAACTGGTCAAATCTTTAGTGACAATTGATTTTCTTCTTTTTGTATAACAGAATGATGTACGGCAACACTGTAGAGTCAGAGACCAGTACAAGTTCCACCATCTCAGTTGCCGTCAACTGGACGATCATTCCTGACAGCATCACCTTGCCCTCGAATCAAGACTCTAAAACATGGACCTTCATTACCGCCATTGGTCCCAATAGAATGATTGCAGTAGCCTCTCATATGCATGCTACGCAGATGGCTTTAGAAGGAATACTGTACAGTAATCATTGTAGAGCATGGCAGGATAAATGGCTACACGGACAAATTGAGGTCGATGACATAACACTTTCTAAAGCAATCCATGGCAGCATGTACTATATTCTCAGTTCTCTACCATCCCTCAACTACGATGTTCAGACCACCCCTTATCATTTCTACGGACTAAGCCCTGGTGGTTTAGCTCATGGTCGCATTGCGACAGATTATCAGGGACACGTCTTCTGGGATCAAGAGACGTGGATGTATCCCACAATGCTTCTGTTTCATCCCAAGCTGGGTAGAGCCATGCTGGAATCCAGGACGTATCACCTGGATGCTGCCAAGGAGCTAGCCAAGTCGAGAGGTTACCAAGGAGCAGAGTATCCATGGGAGATGGCTTATACAGGTGGGTCAGATCTGTTAAGGAGAATACACGAGAAAGTGTGGATTCATAATTTATGAATTCACTCGGCGCTTCGCGCCTGGTGAATTCTTAGGAGAATACACGAGAAAGTGTGGATTCATAATTTAAGAATTCACGAAGCGCAAAGCGCTGAGTGAATTTATAAATTAAGAATCCACGCTTGAGAGTGCATTCTTCAACATAAACCATTGCGTCAACAGAAGTATTGGAAAGAATGTTGCAACCTAACGCCACTTTTTTCTTCATATATCATCTCAATGAAGGTCATTCGTTGCAAGAATGACGATAAGACATGAATCTGGGACTGAGAAATGTTTCCAATTTTGTTAGGAAATACTTGAAATGACTCTCCATAGACTTTGTACACAAGTGCGGAAGTGGCGTCAGGTTGCAACATTTTTTCCTGGCGTGTTTAGCATGTGTATCGCCACACCCGTACAACCAAGTCATTTTGTGTGTATAGGCTCCTTACGTCAAAATGGATAGTTCAGACGACGATTTCTTTCTGACTAAAAGTAGGTTTTGCAGTGACAGCGGAGAATCTGACAGTGAAGATGCACTGGTAATTTTCGGAAAGCAAATTTTCACGCAGACGGTCCTATTCATGCTCGTTATGATGGAGAATAATAGTCCAACGTGTTCAAAGTGCGGATTCGTAATTTCGAATCCACACTGTACTAAAGATTCGTTGTTCCGAATCCACACTTTGTGACCAGCGTAAGAGATTCGTAGATCCGAATCCACACTTTTAACAATAGTGTGACATCATAGCAATGGTTTAAGTTAAGCAGAATACATGAGGAAGTGTGGATTCGTAATTTCAGAATTCACAAGACACGAAGCTTCAAGTGAATTCGTAAATTAAAAATCCTCACTTGCGAGTGTATGCTTCGACTTAAACCATTTTGTCAAAAGAAGTATTGTCAATTAACAGTCCAGAAAGTGGAGATGAAAAGACTTGCATATCTCGTTGTGGCCATTAGGGTAATTTACAAGGGAGTTTTTTGAGGCTCTTATACATAATCACACATTGTAGCATGTGTATCGCCACACCCGTACAACCAAGTCATTTTGTGTGTAGGCTCCTTATGTCAACATGGATAGTTCAGACGACGATTTCTTTCAGACAGTGACGATTCATTGGTAATTTTCAGAAGGAAAGTTTTCATGCAAACGGTCCTGTTAATGCTCATTATGGAGAGCAGAACGTAGAACAATTGTCCGACTTGATTCATATTTCCGAATCCACACTTTACTAAGGATTCGTCATTCCGAATCCACACTATTTGACCAGTGTAACAGATGTGTGGTTCTGAATCCACACTTTTAACAATACTGTGACGTATTCATGTAGCAATGGTTTAATAACTAATAACTAACGGAACAGAAACAATTACATGTAGGTTCATTGCTGGAACTGGAAGGGACATACTGCGTTTGCCTTGTCCTTCCTTGCCCTGGCTGGCACCTTGGGGTTGGGAAGTTTTCTTTGTTAGGGAATTTAGGACTGAGTTATGGGGACTTCTATTTTCCGATAGTGTCTTCGGTCCCCAGAAATACTATCGCTGAACAGGTGTGTGTTCCCGACAGTTACAAAACAAGATTGTGGGTGTGCGTGCAAGCAATCAGGTTCCTACCATAACCTGAGGACGTGACATTTCAACTTCAAACTTGGTGTACATGTTCATCTTTTCAAACCATGGACGAAAAATACCAGAGAACAATATTGTCCACGATTCCCAGCATACGTCCGCGATTGGGGTCGTGTACAAAACCTATGGGAGTCTTCCTAAAAAGTTCGTGTACAAACAAAAGAGGGACAATAGGACGTCCATGATCGACGGTGAACACACGTTTGTGTGTGTGGGTTGGTCTTTAGTGTTCTCTAAAAGCTATTGAGTTTGGACCCCATGGGTCAAAGGTCAAGGTCATTACGGTTGAAGAAATTGAAATAGGTTTCCCACCATAATTTGAGAAGACATAACAAATCCAAACTTGGTATTTTCAACAGGTGCAGAAGTCTGCCCAGCAGAGATTTACAGTCTGCAGGAGATCCACATAAATGGAGACATATCCTTCGCTGTCCAGCAGTATCTTCATGTCTTAAGAGATGTAGACTTCTTAAAGAACCGACGTGGTTACGAGATGATATCAGAACTGGCTAAGTACTGGGAAAGTCGGGTTGAGTTTAACAACGCTTCAGGATACTATGAAATCAAAGGTATGTCCAGAGATTTGGTTTGCCTGCTTTAATAATTACATTGTGGTTACTCTAACTCTATCCTCCTGAAAACTACAGTACCAGGGTTCGACATTAGCTGCAGCCCGCCCGCTAAATGCGAGTAAAAACTGCAGCGGACTAGTCAAAACATTTCCTAAGTAGTCCGCCAGCTGGCGAGTCAAAATTATTGTAATAAGGCATGCAACATTTCCATGTATAATATCCGCAGATTTCTGCGTTTTAAGAAAAGCTGGAGTTGTAGAAAAAATAATCTGATATTGACACACAGACGCTTGTTTCATGCCGTGGCACCACGGAATCTTGCCCGAATATCGCTAGCATTCCCAAAATTAAAGATTGCCTCAGGATCACAGCTGTTACATGATCAGTGTTGTTTATGACATTCTCGTGCAAAAAAAATTAAACTTCTATAGAACAAATTAAATCACACGGACAAGTGAGAAGGCCCACGGACTAGTTAAGAGTGTGTTTCAATAGTCTGGCAATAGTGGGAAAAAAAATTCAGGACGAAACCTGCAGTACCCCACTTGATGAAGATCAGATTTGTTAAGTGTATATATATCTGCTAAGTTTTGTTGTCCGATTGGCATGGACCAGAAATTAGTTTCATGTTTTATGTTTGGATCATTTATTTAAGTTGGTTAACCCTCCTCACTTTGCCTCGACACTTATCCCCAAAGAGTGAGCACACAGAGCCAATTCTTCTTCGTAATCCTGTTATATCAGATTTGTGTGGAAAAGCACAATTCACAGTGCATTCGACTCTCATTAATACGAACTCAGCTGGACCTAACCAAAACGTTTGTTACATGTATATCAGAATTTTTGTAATAGGTGGAGAGCCGGTCTCATTCATAGTCAGGCAGATTGGTGCACAATATGATGGAATTGTTCATTTGATGATAAAAGCATAAAATTTGGCACACAGTCAGAGTGTGTCTATCATGTCTATAGGCCATCGCAGATTTGTCTTTTGAAAAAAATATTATACAAATAACGAATGTTTGTGAGTGCGATGGTAAGAATAATTTCATGAGGTGACAGATTGAATGTTCTATTCCACGAGGCGAAGCCGAGTGGAATAGAACATTAAATCTGTCACCTCATGAAATTATTCTTTCCATCGCACGAACGTAAAACATTCGTTATTTGTTTTATACAACACCTGAATAAATTCTCGTCATTTGATTGGTAAATTATAAACTACAATTTATTTTGATTTTAAAGATGTTGAACTACCCCTTCACGAAAATGTTTGAACCCAACGCTGTAGCGCTGGCTCTTTGGAACAATACGCGCTACGCTGAACGCGCACACCAGCATGCATTGTGCACGCAAATACCGCGTCATGGAACAAGCGCAAAGTGAAACGGTATAACGCATGGGTATAACGCATGGTCGCACCGTGCATTATACCGAATAATAATATGTCACGTGATCTACAATTCACCAATCAGATGACGGGGATTTATTCAGGTGTTGTATAACATAGAATAACATGCAATGGCCGCCATTTTGAAACTTTTGAAAATCTCGTTATTCTATGATATTTTTTCAAAGGACAAATCTGCGATAGTTTTATAGCCAAATATCTTTACCATGACATACTCTGACTGTGTGCCAAATGCCATGCCTTGATCATCAAACTGAACAATCTGCTTTACTAAATTTGCACATCAATGCACAGTCAGGACTGATTCTTTATTTTTGCTACAGGGTGAGTCAAAAAAGCGGAACCCAAACCCCAACAATTATACTTCATATAATCATAAAAATATGTAGTACCAAAAATAATAATGACTGGAAAGCCAATTTCATAAGCTACTTTTAGATGAAAAAAATTACTGAAATTGGTCAATCCATTCAAAGAATATCGCCATTTAAAAACAATGACCCTAAAACCTGTCTGGTCCAGAAAATGCGATTTCAAGAATCGTCACAAATTGTCTTCAAACATCACCAGCGATAAATCTCAGTTTAAACGTTAAAAATATTCAACAAATTCCTTTTGAAGGCCCATCTTTTAAAACAAAAAATGATTTTATAAATCATACTGTTTGCCTAACCAGGGTTGTTAATAAAGGTATTATGTGCTACAGTTGGTGACAGCTGTTGGTACAAGTATTCTGTGTCATTTTCTTCGTTGTTCCAAACAGTCAAAACACACAATAAATAGCTTTTTTTTGGACGAGACAGGTTCTAGGGTCATTGCGTTTAAATGGTGATATTCTTTGAACGGATTGAGCAATTTCAATAATTTTTTTCATCTAGAAGTAGCTTATGAAATTGGCTTTCCAATCATTATTATGGTTGGTGCTACATATTTTTATGCCCCGCGGCGAAGCCGAAGGGGCATACTGTTTCTGCCTTGTCCTTCCGTGGGTGGGTGGGTGGGTGTGTGTGTGGGTGGGTGGGTGTGTGGGTGTGTGTGTCCGGACAAATCTTGTCAGCGCGATAACTTGAGAAATACTTAACATATGAACTTCAAATTTGGTTTGTGGACTGTCCTTGGTAATCCTAAGAAGCATTTTGCATTTGGGGCCGAAAGGTCAAGGGTCAAGGTCACAGTGGCTGAAACAATAGAAATTTTGTCAGCACGATAACTTGAGAAATACTTAACATATGAACTTCACATTTGGTTTGTGGATTGTCCTTGGCAATTCTAAGAAGCCTTTTGCATTTGGGGCCAAAAGGTCAAGGGTCAAGGTCACAGTGGCTGAAACAATAGAAATTTTGTCAGCGCGATAACTTGAGAAATACTTTACATATGAACTTCAAATTTGGTTTGTGGATTGTCCTTGGCACACTGCCAAAAATATTTTCTTACTTAAGAAAACTTTTCTTGAAATTAGAAAAATATTCTAGATTTAAGATAATTTGTAAGAAAAAAGAAAATGGGCAAGAAAATACTTCTTCAAATATTTAATAAAATATACTTGAAGAAATTATATCTTTTTTTAAGATTTTTTTTCTCAAAATTATTCTCATTACAAGAAAATTTTCTAATTTTAAGAAAATTTCTTACATAAGAAATTTGTTTAAGAACTACGAACTGTGTTTTTCTCATATTTGCCATCTATTTTCTTATTTTAAGAAAATATTTCCTGTTAATAAAAACAATTCTTGTCTTCAAAAAATGCTACACTTCAAGAAAATTATTCTTGCCAAGTGTTCTTTGTTGATGCATTGTACAAAAAAATACTTTCTCATTTTAAGAAAACTTTTCTTGAATGAAATTAAAATTGTATGACTTTGGCCAGAACAACAGAGGGCGCTGTTGGGGGAGTGGCCAACTGAAATTTAAAAGTGTATTGTTTCAGCTGTCAGGCCTGAACATTCACTTATCATTTCCATCATTTTTATTCTGCCAGAGGTATGTACCGGTACAAATGTTAGTTTTATTGTCATGTTTTAACTTAATTATCATAGATTAAGGATGGCTATTTGTATGAACTTTATTGTTGAAGATGTTTAAGGATTGAAAAGATTGAAAGTTGTGTAAGTTTCGGATCGGTAGTTGCAAATGTATGCATACTGTAATACATATTGAACATTGCACACATAACCCACTAAGCATGAGTGAGATAGCAATTCCTTTTCTTTTATAGAAAGTAACATATAAAGTGGCAGTCACTGATATGACAATTGATTTTTAGATGTTCTTATTCCTCCATTTAGAAGTGAATCTGAGTTTGGCGATTAGGCTCTGCCTGAGAAGCAAATCTAAGTTTGGAGAATAATGCTCAAAACTAGGTTTGAAGTTCACCAATAAAAATGTATATTGGCCTAGTTATGACAGTGACAAAATGTTTAAATAAAGTTGTAATGTAAGGTGAAAATACTATTATTGAAATGAGCAAACTATACAGGGTGATTAAAAAAGGTAAGCCTGAAACAAAGGACTTTTATTTGTTAAATGTTAACACAATGTCTTCATGGCATCCATTGCTGCTATGATGAATGGATACCTTTGCCTTGAAGTTGTTTTCTTGTAGTAGGAAAACAATTCTCATTAATTTGTACTAAGATTTATGATGTCTTTTCTTTTGGAATCCAAGAAAACCTCAGCAGAAACAAAAAAAAACACCCAAGATTACAATTCCAGCTAGGAGTTAATTGTCTTGATTCAAGAAAAGGAAAAAGGTTTTCTTGTGTCATTCCTAATCCTAGAAAATGGTAACAAGAAATTTGTCCTTGCAGGTTTTCTTAAAATAAGAAACATAACTGAGAAAAGTTGATTTCAGGTGGATTGAGCAATATAAATTTTCTTGCAGTTTTTCTTAAAATAAGAAACATACTGAGAAAACTTTAGAAAAAAATATTCTTAATTTGACAAAAGTTGAGAAAGAAACAAGAAAAAAAACTAGATTTTTTTTGCAATATGAAGGGGTTATATTCTTGTTTCAAGAAAAGGAAAGAGGTTTTCTTGTGTCACTCCCTAGAAAATTGGAACAAGAAAAATGTTCTTGCAGTTTTTCTTAAAATAAGAAACATAACTGAGAAAAGTTTAGAAAAAAATATTCTTAATTTGACAAAAGTTGAGTAAGAAACAAGAAAAAAAACTAGATTTTTTTTTGCAATATGAAGGGGTTATATTCTTGATTCAAGAAAAGGAAAGAGGTTTTCTTGTGTCACTCCCTAGAAAATTGTAACAAGAAAAATTTTCTTGCAGTTTTTCTTAAAATAAGAAACATAACTGAGAAAAGTTTAGAATTTTTTTTCTTATTTTGACAAAAGTTAAGAAAATTATTTATCCTAAATCAAGAACACTAGAAAAAAAATCTAATAACAAGTTTCTTAAAACAAGAATTGGCCTTTTAGAAATATTTTCTTGTGTCACTCCCTAGAAAAAAAAACTTGTTTTAAGTTTTTTTTTCTCAAAATAAGAAATATATTTTTGGCAGTGCAATTCTAAGAAGCCTTTTGCATTTGGGGCCAAAACGTCAAGGGTCAAGGTCACAGTGGCTGAAACAATAGAAATTTTGTCAGTGTGATAACTTGAGATATACTTTACATATGAACTTCAAATTTGGTTTGTGGATTGTCCTTGGCAATCCTAAGGAGCCTATCGCATTGGGGGTCGAAAGGTCAAGGGTCAAGGTCACAGTGGCTAAAACAATAGAAATCTTGTATTTATTCTGAGATCATAGGGATTAGGGATTAATTCATATAAAACCTACAGAAGACACTTATGCTGTCAATGAACGTTCCATTTGACCAAGGTACATGTAATTTGATGTTAGAGTGGTGTTATGTCATGGAAACAGTCACGGTTGCGGGGCATTTGTGTTTGTAAACACACCTGACTTGTTTTAAATATGAAATATATATTTGGGGGCTTTGGATTCCGCTTTTTTTTACTCACCCTGTATAACCAGAAATACAGTGTTTGTATTGACTAGAGGCCACTGTTTTCCCTTCAGAACACTGAGAACTGAGCTCTTGAAGTAGAGGTTGTACAGTTCCCCGTCTTCCACATTGGGTTTAATTTGTAGGTCCTACAGCATGGTTGTGACGCCTGAGGTTGTATTTTTTGTTTACATTGTAGGAGTGAAGCCGCCAGACGAGTACCATTCCAATGTCAACAACTCCGTCTACACTAATTCAGTAGCTCAGGTCAGCCTGCTCTTACCAGCCTATGCAGGCAAGTTCATCAATGTTACCGCACCACCAGCGTGGACAGAGATTGCTGATAAACTACTGATTCTGTATAATACGACACACGAGTACCATCCGGAGTACGAGGGATATGAAATAGGTCAGTTATCTTTTTAACCCTTCGCGTGCTAATTTTTGGCGCTGTGATATTAGACGGCTGCATGGAACCAATCACTGACACAATGTAATTTGAGCTACCCGGCCCTCAAAGTCCACCATTCACCCAGATTAACCCCTGGTATCACTCCGGCCCTATAAACAGTCAATGAAACCAGACACTACCCTCCTCAATGCCATTTGACAGTTCCATTTTGGCCACAGGGGTGATCGAGGTAATCCCTATGTGAACAATGCATTTGTACACAAGCCTAGTAATTGCGCACAAGCACACTAGGTTTTCCCGCCAATTTCCAACCCCTCCAGTAGGATCACAAGACTTACACCCCCTCTAGTGGATGCACCATGGTCCATACTAGGATCTAGTGACAGATGACCTGGGCATGGCTACCACGTGGCTGGGACAATAAAAAACAAAGAAATGTGGAAGTCAGTTTATTCACACTGACTCCAGGTAAGGCTCTCATGGTATATATTTACTGGAAATGTTTCCTTAAAGGGGCACTAGGTCCCGAAATCCCTGAAAATTTCATGTTTTGGATTGTTTACTTATCCTATTTCAAACATGTGGTTGAAAGGAAACCAACCTAATGTCTTACCGTTCCTGAGAAAAGACGAAAAAAACCGGTTGTTTACATTGGACACGACAAAGTACGAATACGTTTTTCGTGTCGTTCTGTAGTGTACGATATACACGTTGTGTGTCTCGGGATCAGCGGTGACCAATCACCAATGCAAAAAAAATGGTTTCTTCAACATTCGCAAAAGGCGAACACTTTACGCGTACGAATGACATCACAACTAGCATCCAAACGGCTCGAATTTATGGGGTCGCAAAAGTGGACCCCGAAATTCGTTCTCGTACACATAATACAGGAATATCACAAATACGCCCAATTTTTAAAGGGTAGTTGTGTGGATGTTTCTATCCTAGTTTTAAATGTTCTTTCTGATCAACATAATCTCGTTCAAAGCGCGTTTTGTAGCCCAATTGGGCTGTTTCAGGACCTAGTGTCCCTTTAACTGCCTAGAGGCCAGTACATGCTACATAGGAATTCAAGTGCAAATAAGCCAATTTGTCCTTGTGGGACCATTCACCATGGACCGTTTGCGCAACTTGAAAGATGTTCAACTTTTGTGAAGTAGCAGCGGGAAAAGTTGATGTGACGTCAAAAATTGGCGGTTGTGTTCACTTCTGTTGCCGAGTATGAACTTGTCTTTACACAACACATTGTGGCCAAACTGTCAGTGGTCCAAGCACATTCTTGTTCACTGGTTGCAAGGGACATCAAGTAATACAATGTAAAGTAAAACAATGCAGTTGGAATTAGTGGTGGGGGAAATCAGAGATTTTAAAATCTGTTTAGTCTAATATTTTTCAAACCAAATAATGGTTATCTGATCGCACAGGATGTTCCCATCCAGCTCACAGTTATGCCAACAAAAAAAAGTGAGAAGTGAGGTGTCACATGACTGGGAAGCAAATTAGCAGGATAGACCACAGAGCAAATTAGGGGATGTTCCAGTCATTTGCTTGAGCCTGCAATGCTTTACAAATCCCAATGATTATCTTGAGGATGGCGAAGAGTATTAGTGATACATTTCATTGGCATTTGTTGGAAGAAAAAGACGATAATGCCCAATTTTTTCCCACGTATGATGCAAATACAAGTGGATTAGTGGAGTTGTTTGGTTGAATCATGGACATGATTGAAGTTGTGTCATGAATGGTGCCCTTGGCTTTTAATTGGACTTTTTCCTCGACTTTCTCAAGAAAGAAGTGATCTTCTTTGCTGATGATTCTGTTACGCCAACCATAGTTCAGTCTTTTTGATTTTATGAAAACACTGACCATTTTTTTCATCGTAAAATTTTGTTTGTATTGAAATTAAGACAGGAGTTGATGTCCGGAAATTAGGCATGAAGTGTATGGTACTTGTTCATACATGTACAATTGTATTCATGTGTGTGTAACTGCAGGGCGGCCCAGATTTCGGGCACGTATTTTTGTTAGGCCAATTTCCCGTTTTATTATGCCAGTTTCATCTCTGCTAAAAAGATTCTCAAAGCAGAAATTTGTCAAATCGTAATTTTTGTGTGAAGTTATGTTCATTATTGTGCTTCTTCTTGACCAGGCACAACTGTCAAGCAAGCTGACTCGATTCTACTGGGCTTTCCACTCAATGTCAAGATGGACAATGTTTCACGCTATAACGACTTGCAGACCTATCAGCCTGTCACAGACCCAAATGGTCCCGCTATGTCATGGTCCATGTTCTCTATAGGATATGGTGAAGTACAGCAACCTGACAAACAACGTGAGATGTTTCTACGCAATTTCAAGAACATTCAACAGCCATTCAGAGTAAGTCTGTGTGTCATTGTTGTCATTGATACGTGTAGCAAGAAGTTTTACCAAAGTAACAAAATCTTGACATCTTTTTGTAATTCTTCATCCTGGGGTTGATTTTGCTTAGATCATTGTGATATCAGATCAGTACTTAGACTTGCAGAGGATAGTTGCAATGTGATCAACTACAGAATGTCACGAAACATGAAACCACGGATTCCTCAAATGTGCCCCAGGCACTGTAACGTGAAAGCCTGAAGAAATGTATAGAGAGAAGACATTGAGAAGATTACAGTCTTAGAGGTGGGAGGAAAACCCCAGACGAATATTCTGGGAAAAACCCACGGAATCAGGTAGGGACTGAAACCCAGTCCACATGTGGTCCAAGCAGAAATCAAACCGGGGCCAGAGTACCACTACGCCAACCTGACTTCTCCTGTCCTTTGTGAGCATGTGTACATGTTTTCTTGGCCTCTTGAGTGTAGCTGTCTTGAATTTGCAAGACAACATGACATCCTGGTCAAGGCAGCCTCACAGTTTCATGGGGTGCATACCTTTGTTCCCAAATACCTTTGTTCCTCAATACCGATGTTCCCTGAAATCTTTACCCTAAACCCAAACCCTAACACCAACACTAACCCCAACCCTAACCCTAATCCTAACGATTTCGGGGAACATCGGTATTGGGGAAAATAGGTATTGCGGAACATCGGGTAGACCCCATTTCATGAACTGACCTTCAGGACAAATAAACCCTACAAGTCGGCTTGATCACCAAGGTCACTTCGTCTTTCAAGTGAACTGACCTCCCAGGTGCATTTATAAACTTGATCTTTGATCACCTGCTGCCCACCTGTCAGATTAAATTCTCCAATCAATTATCTTTGCTTTGCCTTGGCAGGTGTGGACTGAGACGGCATCTGGGCATGGGGCCGTTAACTTCATCACTGGCATGGGAGGCTTCCTGCAGTCAGTTCTCTTCGGCTATGGAGGGTTTCGTATCTTACCCGATCATCTCTTATTCAATTTTGACCTTCCTAAAGGGACAACCAAGTTTGAGGTTTGTAACATTTGACTAGGAAGTGGATTGAGTTTTCATAAACAAAGCTACACGTACAGTTTGATATTAAAGAATTCCCATGACAAGTAAGCCACATATACAGGGTGAGTAAAAAAAATGAAACCCAAATGTCAGGGTCATTGTTTGAGTGAACTTCTGCATGTAGCACTTTTACAATCTAGGATATGAAAGCCCAATTCATAAGCTTTCTTTTAGTACAAGAATCATTCAAATCACTCATGTACTTTTCAAGTTACGGAGTTTTAAACACAACCACCATTTTAAAGTTCTGTCCACGGATCACAAAAACAGGTGTGCGTTCTTTCAGCAAAACGAAAACAATTCACGCACATCCGTATGTGATTGTTTTTCATTTTGCTGAAAGAACACTCAACTTTTTTGTGATCCTGAACAGAACTTTAAAACGCCAGTTGTGTTTAAAACTCCGTAACTTGAAAAGATCATAAGTGATATAAGTGATTTGAATGATTCTTGTACTAAAAGAAAGCTTATGAATTGGGCTTTCATACCCTAGATTTGAAACTTTATTTACCTTTCTTTATTAATAGACATAATTTCCAGCACCTTGAGTACCTAATTGTTGGTAGATACGTACGCTATATAAGACTCCGATATTATTATTATTACATACAGACCTTCACTAAACAATGGTCCCAACATTTGGGTATTGTTTATTTTTACTCACCCTGTAGTCACAGCAATCTGCTCTAAGTCTGCTCATATACAAACTCATGCTTTTAACTTTCAAAGCCATCAACGGTCAAGCACCAAACTACCTACGCGACCTTATCTGCATCAAGGAACCTTCTCGCACTCTTAGATCAAACGCTGCTACCATTCTACAATGACGAACTGTGAACACAGTAACGTACAGCCAGCGATCATTCTCATGTACAGCTCCTGAAACACTCCAACTGTTCAAGACTCTACTCAAAACCCATCTGCTTATCCTTTGACTTTGAACATTTCTCCAGCCAATCATTCTCGTCAATTTGTGTTGGCTTTTGTTTACATATGCCGTGTTTTTGTGTATTATTTGAAATTTTTAAAGATTTACTCTAATTGTACACCTGTATGTTATTATGCCTGTACAGCGCATTGGGGTCTTATTGACGGAATGAGCTTTTACAAGAATGGTTTATTATTAAGTGAAACTTACATTTGTTAGTTTCCCAACCTTTATTTTGATTTGTAGGTGAGAGGACTTGACTACCTTGGTTCTGAGATTGACTTTATTGCCACAGAGAAGACAGTATTAGTAACACTAACGGACCAGCAGCAAGGTGCAGCAAAGCTACAAATGGAAACTGCACAAGGCACCGTCTATGATCTTGTCAAAGGTGACTCTTAGAAATTATTATATCAGTGCATTTCAAGGTGATGTTAATTTTTCTTAATTTGTTTTATTGCAGTAAGTTTATTTGAAACATCTTCAAAGTGGTGATCACAGCAAAATATGGCTTTAACCCCTTGAGGCTGGTATTCTTCGGCTAAGGGCAGTTGCACATTGGGTGGAATGTGTACGTGCAGGCATTCAGCCGTTGTCCATGAATGGATGCGCTATGCAGCAGGCATGTGGCAATAGCAATTCCCCAGCTTATCGGCTTTTATTGAGCTGCATCTAGAGCTGTCGGCCCGTGTTAAGGTGTCAAAGTTTACATTTTTGCACTGTTTTTGTACGTCATAAAATAATTACTGAATGATTTCCAAAGCTGAAGTCCATTTGAAAATAACAGTGCTCATACCGCAAAAAATGTGTTGCATGGCAAGATGTTAGATGCGAAAAAGGTATATTCAAGCAATAAAATAGGGCTGATATTTTAAATCCAACAAATACAAACATGTTTTGTAGTTGCTACTCGCACACATAACCCCCTAGGCCCTTGTTGCTTACAACCATCCTCAATCCTCCAAAATCCTCCAAAATTTTTCAACTCCGCCTAAATTTTTCAAAATCATCAGACAGTCCCGCCTCAACATGCATTCATCCTCAATCCTCCAAAATCCTCTTGTGCTTCATTCACCATTCATCCTCAATCCTCCAAAATCCTCTTGTGCTTCATTCACCATTCATCCTCAATCCTCCAAAATCATCATGTGCTTCAATCACCATTCATCCTCAATCCTCCAGAATCCTCATTTGATTCAATCACCATTCATCCTCAATCTTCTAGAATCCTCCAAAACCGCCAGGAGGATTTTGGAGGAGTGAGGTGGGTTAGGGTTAAGAATTCAATTTGTAGAAGCCATAATTATAAGAAAAGCTGATATTTGTGAACATTTTTAAATACAAATGAAATCACATGACATACTTTCACCGCTTACTGCTTTCAGTCTTCCACAATTTTAGTGTTTGATTTCATTTCATCAACATTTCATCAACATTTGTGATGCGATCAAGCTACAAGAGTCGTTTGTCGGGAATTTGCATTTGGAGATTCAGGCCAAAATAGGATCACTTCATCACATCACTTCATCACATCTCTTGGTGTTCCGACTTCGATAAATAATTTTTGAACTAAAGATGGTATCAGCATGCGGTTTTCACAGCAGTAACGCTAAGATTGTGCTCTTTTCAAAGCTGTAATTAAACAAATTTTGACCGGGGTTGACAAACGACTCATTTAGCTTGATCGCATCACATTTATTTCCAATTCCATCAATCAATAGTAATACAGTGTATATAAGTAGAAGAGTAGGATTTGGAGGCACAGCCAAAAAGGCACAGCTTGTATTAGGGAGTGCCCATACAATTACAAACAGTACAGTACAGTTTTATATTGGTTTCTGGAGATTTTTAGAACTTTCTCTTAGTTTTTTTTTTCTTTTTTTCAAACAGGGAAACCAGTGTTGATAAACCGTATCAGCTGGGCACTCATCAAGGAAGTATGATTGGAGAGTCAGCACGGTGTCAACGTTGGATATTGGAGTTGGACTAACTGAAATGGTTTGAGTCAAACTTGCCTTTCATTTCAAGACTTTCCAAATTGTTTAAAACAATGATAATTATTGTGTCAAAATACACTTGGTGTGTAATGATTTGTACAATTATATAATATTGGATGGCTTTGAGGGGAATACAAGAATGTATTGCACGAGCTATAACAATATTGCATGAGTCAGAATAGCGAGTGCAATATATTCTTGTATCCCTCCCAAAAAGCCATCCAACATTTTGTTATTGAAACTAGGTTTTGCCCTTCACCGACGTATAAACACTGTATACTCAGTGTGTTACTCAGTCCCACCCAAGTGATTTTTTTTCAACTTTTACTTGGGAGGTAACACACTGAGTATACAGTGTTTATACGTCGGTGATGGGTAAAAACCTAATTTGATTTACATCACCCCGACGCAAAATTCCATCTTATAAATAGTTAATGCGGTACCCACTGCTATCTACATCAGATTCGAACCAGCCAACGGATCCCGTTAGCTCGGTGGTCGAGTGGTAAGACATCTGCACTAGAAAAGTGGGTTCAAGTCCCACCCGAGTGATTTTTTCCAACTTTCACTCGGGAGGCAACACACTGAGTATACAGTGTTAATATGTCAGTGAAGGGCAAAATCCTAATTTGATTTACATCGCCCCAATGTAAAATTCCATCTTATGAATTACTACTATTATTTATATTAGGCTAACTAGCTTGATCTGCAAGCTAGTTAGCCTGTATGCGCAATCTTGTCGCTTGCACATGTAGTTGGTGTGCAGGACTGCTCGGGGAAGTTCGGAGCCTGTACGTCACCATTTGTAGACAGTTGACAAACAGTGGTCAGTTTTTCACCGGACAGAATGAGCTCGAGTGACCGGATGAGGTCCTGTCCCAGTATTGGGTCACCACTGTCAACTATGTAGAAATCACCGGTCACACATGCAGATGTGGAACCAACGAAGCAAACTGTAGTATTCAAGCGTTCCAGGACCTTGATTGGCTCGTGCAAGTATGTTGTGAGCAGGATTGTAGTTAGATCGAGGGTCTCACGAAGAAAGTTCCCAGGCATGAGAATGGACTGAGAAAAAAACCCCTGAAAATATAATGTACCAATGCGAAGCGCAGCGAGTGAAGCGAGTGTAGCTCTCGCGGCTCACTGCCGGGGGTCCAGGGGCCCGCCTTAGGGCCCCTGGCGGGGTCCTGGGGCAGCGCCCCTGGTGGGGGTCAGGGGGCAGCGCCCCCGGAAGCTCCTGGGTTTTAGCAATTGAAAGGGCAATTGGAAGCCATTCTGGAGTACCAATTTTTATAGAAAAAGGAACTAAAAATGGAAGAATTTTTACTAATAAACTTCTATGTTCTGTTTACTACATACATGTATTTCAATAGTCCATGTACATGTTTGCACTTTCAGCTTGAAAATGACAACCTCAACCAACTTCATGGCTCATACCAAGTTACAATGAGTAATGTATTTGAATATAATACAATTTAAACATTTTGTTCTGTATCTCAATACATGAAATGCTGACTTTACAACCAGTTTGTGGTGGACAGCCACGTTTTATTTTCATTTCAAAAACAAAACCAGCCATCTCCCTTTCCTACCTTATCAGCTCTGCTTTTAGCTCTCTGGTTCCATTTCACTTGTGTTTGTGTGAAGTGGGACCAGAGAGCTACCCTAGTCATGATGATAATTATTTACATTTTACTTCTTGGCCGCCTTCTTTGCCACCAGAGCCTCAAGAGCCTTCTTTCTTGCAACTTTTCTCTTTTTCGCTACAAATTTTGCTTGCGCAGCTTTGTCGTCGCTTACCTTCTTTTGAAGGCTGCTTTGGTTCCAAGCTTCACTTCGTGACGTTTTGTCCCAGCCTTTCGTGCAGATTTGTACGCACCGGCTGCGCTGCACATGTTCCTTGTCAGTTGATGACTGGGGTCCTTGAATGCAGTGAGTGCATCAGTGTTTCTTGACAGCAGATGGTACTTGACAGTTTGAAAGGAGGTGAAAGTGTCCATGTTCATTCTACCAGAGTGTTGGTCTAAAATGTCACTCATTATGCTGAAACTCCCTTCCACTTGTGGCCCATGAAATATACTCAGGGCTGCCTCAGGCTGCATCCGAATCAGTTGGCTAGAGCTAGGTCTAGGTCTGCGCCCATTGAAAATACGCGGGGACGCGCTGACAATAGACGTAGCCGTAGCTCTGGAAGCCCGTTTCGGACACGGCCTCAATAACCTTGCCAAGCACAGGAAATTTAGCAAACACACTGGAGTGGTACCACACATCAATTCTGCTCTGTGTGTCATCAAAGACAGGCATACTGTCTGTGTGGTAAGTCTGCACCTGGATGTCATAGGCATCTCGTTCTTCATCTGTGAGAGATACTGGCAGTATGTCTTTCAAGGACTTCATGTATTTCGAGCTGATGCTAAGTCCTCGTGCAGCAGGGTCTATAGCTGACAATGCCACCAGAGTTCTGTTCGCAAGTGGCAGCTTATCTTGTAGACACTTGCCGCATGCTTTGTAGACACTTGCCGCATGCTTTGTACACCTCTTATATACTTTGGAGGAAATCCTCTACAACATTGTCTTTCCCTCTTTGCTTTACAATTGACTGTGCGGCAGAACCAATGAAAGAATCAATGGGCTTCTCGTACATTTCAACTCGGTCGAGATCAAGTTCTTTCAACTTTCGAGCACTACATTCTGTCAAATACTCCTCCTTCAAATAGCATGACAGGAACTGTTGAATAGTTTGGTCTGTTCATCATGTGCTTTGTGTATGAGTGGAGCTTTTGACTGGAAGAGTACGACATACGACTTCAGCAGTGGTAGAACAGACTTGTACAGGTTAAGAATCAGCAAGGTCTTGGGTGATGTATACAAAACCTTCTCAAAGATCCTCTTCTTCCTTGCCCGACCATCTTCTGTGAGCTTCTTTTCACTCAACTGTTTATGGATGGCTCTGATTTTCTTTCTCTCATCTTCAGTTACACCATATTTTCTGTACAACTGGATCAACTGTGCTTTGTAGGTTAACTTCATGTCTGATGGAAGAAAGCCATAGTAGAAGATCTGCAGAGCATCATAAATCCGCAGGGTGGATAGAGCGACATCATAGCAGGAGAGCCATCGGTAATCAAATCAAACAATAAAAAATACAGACTGTAATAATATTATTAAAAATAATAATAAATGGTTCTTATTGGGCGCAAAATCTTGCGGAGAACTCAAGGCGCACAAAAACATGAAGGACGAACAAATACATTATTTCTGTAAATCGGGAAAAGCTTGAAGAAAAAATGAGTTTTCGTAATGGGTCTTTGAAATGATATTCTTTTATTGAAATCCACATACCTATGGTCCAAAATGCGTTCTGGCATGGTGAATGATATTCCTGTGATCTCACATACAGCAGCTAGAGCATCTCGTAGATCAGTCGACCATTTCATGTCATTGTGTACATCATTGAACAACTTTTCCACATACTTATCAAATGGCTTGCAAAACTGTTTGGTGGCATTATGCACATGGTGACAGACATCGCCATCTATGTCTAGAAGATGTGGAGCTTTGTTTTCCTTGATCCTCTTCTCCAAACCTATAAATTATAACCATACAAACCATACACACGGCATGACAGCAACCGTAAAATTTGGATAAACTTGTTTTTATTCTGTTTACCACACAATTGAGGTTAATTTCTTGTTTCAAGTTTCTCTTCAGCAAATTTTAGTAGTTTCAAAAAGGAACTATGCAAGTATGGCATACCAGTAATTTTTAACTGGTGCAAAACTGCACATTTCAAGCTAAGTACAACAATGATTTTGGAGACAACTCAAATTTACTTTGTGCAATTGCTCTAAAAACACTTCATGTAATTCTGGTCAGTTTTATCCTGGTGCAAAACAAAATTTCAACAAGTGGGACTAAATTATGAGAGTAAGTGGGAAAAAAACCTTTCATTGATATTTTCAACATCTCTCACCTGATTTACTCCCACGCATGACTGCACAAGAATCCATGAGAATAGACACCAGGTTACCCCATGGTATCTGATACTCTTCAAACAGATCCACCAAAGCTTCGTACAATGACTCCGAGTTGACAGTCACCATTTCAATGGAGGTAAGATGTTCCACTACAACATAGCTGCAATCTTCAGCAAAGTAGCTCACTAGTATACCCAACACCTTCTTGTTGTTGTTGCTGGTAGCTTCGTCAATGTTCAATGAGAATGGGCCATTCCTTATGCTTCCAAGAATACTCTGCAGAACAGTCTTCTTTAACCCATATTGCATTTTGTATGATGCACTTGTTCTGTCCATGCTTAACTGATCTAAAGCCTTCTTGTCTTTGGCAAGAGCTTTGGCTGTGTTGATAATTACTGGTGCCATTTTCATCTTCAATGAGTGCTCTGCTATCACTCCAAGAACTTGAGCCTATTAAGAATGAGACAAAATATGACACCACATTTAACATAATTGATGTACGTACTACACAAATCAAGGTTTAAAGTTATCTTTAGGATTTAGGCTGTAAAATGTTATTCTTACCAGGACAACAAAATAATTAGGGCCTATAATCTTTAACAAAAGGATTGTTTAAAAAAACACCCCACTTGGAGTTGGAAGTTGGGGAAACTTTGAACAAGAATTACTTGCTGCTTGGCAACTCTATCTGCCATTGTCACAAGGGGTTTAGGGTCAGTTGACGTCTTTCTTTCTACACCAGTGCCTCCAATAGAGAGCTGAAGCAGTGGATTCAATCCATATGGCGCAGAAGTGCTAGAGGATTGACCTGTGTAAAGCAAAATTAAAATTCAGTAAGTCATTGAGACTACTTGATGAAAAGCATTTAGGTAAATCTGTTTTCAATGGAAACCCCATCCCCCAACACACACACACATGCACACCCCACACACACACAAAACAACAAGTCAACAACAAACAACAACAATGAACATCAGAGTTAAAGTTTAAAAGTAAATGTTGTGAAGTTAATGTAATCACCTGCAATTATTCATATTATAAAAGACATGTTTGACTGAACACAATGATCATTGACAGAAGAATAATTATAACATTATAGTATAATTACTTTCTGGTACTGCCCTGCTCACCACTGAGGTAATGTGTTTATATAAACATCATAGATTCATGCATCAATTGTCTGAAACAAATCATTTCTCTGTCATAATCGGCAGGAAAAAGGTGGAATGATAG